CCAGCTCTCACATCATCTGGCGGTGCCAGGAATTCCGCGGATCCCCTTTCCCCTGTCAGGGGCTGTGCCTGTCCCAAGGGACGCGGCTGTCTGCCACGCGGTCTCCCTCTGACCCTCTCGGCTCAGAGGTCTGGCTACCTTTCCTGCCCAAATCCCTGTTTTGTTTTTTTTTACCTTTCCAGGGGAGTTCTGCCCTTCCCGGCTGCAAACCATCTCACAAGCTGAGCAATTTCGCCAATTCGGGGTGGATGTTATTAGTTTCAGCTGCTCACTCCATTTGCTCCGGGACATGACCTGGGACGCGTCTGCCTATATCGCCGCCATCTTCTTTTCCACAATTATAATTTTAATGATTATTTAATTTGGTAATGCTCTTACAACATACTGTGATATATTGTCAAATTCGTTTCCAGAAAGTTTGCCAATTTCTACTCCCATTAGCATTTTAAGGGAGTTCTTAAATATCATAATTTAAGAACTTACCCGCCCCCCCACACTGCCTCCTAATAACAACTGAATATTATAAGGCTTCAATACTTGCTATTTTTATAGTTGTAAAACAGAATCTCAGTGTTACTTTAATGTGCAATCTCATGCTTATTAGCTATTTAGTCATTGTAGGATTGCAGTTGTGTTATGCATTAGCCAGCAGAGATGACACAAACACATTGCCATAATATGATATCCGAGTCTGGTCAAAGGTGCAGAATGCACCAGAAAGAGATGGCTACTCAGAGCAGAAGTAGATGCAATGGATGCCCATGCAACTTTCTCATTAATCCTCCTGCCCTTGTCACTGGGCTATTATCTAGAAGACCATAATGTTTATCAATATTTAAACTATGTCATGAATTAAGCTTGCTTACAGAAACCCCTTTGCCGACCCAAAATGAAGAGTAAGACTGAGGAGCCGAGTGCAAAGGCCAAGTTGGTGGTGGGGTGTCCTGTGCAAAGAAGATGACTAAGCATCTTTCAGGTGCCATGGCCACACCCAAGACAGCGGCTCCACCCATTGGAAGAAGTGCCCTGAGAGCATGAGCCCACCATGTTCTTCATCAAGGAATAGAATTTCTGTTCTGCTTTACCCAACTCAGTCTCGTTCTATTGGCACCAACAGCACTGGGCAGGTGGACCTCGGTTTAGGTCCTGACCTTAAAGGGTGGTCCACACCTGGGGGGCTGATGATCACAGTTTTTTACCAAAGGGGAGAAAGCAGAATTGTCACCTCACCAGTTTCTGCTAGACTCAGGATGACATCATCACTGCTGAAGAAGTGAACTAGCACCTTTCTATTGGGTCATAGAGAAAACACCAAGATTTGAAATGTCACCAAGGTGGGGTTCCATCTCCTTTATTCACTGGTGTATCCCAAGGACCAACAGGAGTGCCTGACACATGATGGGTGTTCAGTCACTGTTTGTTGGGTGAATGGACCTGTAGAGTGTTGATGTAAGAAACGTCCAAACCTTTATAGAATCTTTATGAGTTTATTTAAGCCAAACTGACAATTGCCAGGAAGCAAAATCTCAATGGATTAAGAAAAATGTTCCAGAGAATGGCCGTTCTGCACATTATTTGATACATTAGAATCAAAGGAGGAGGTGTTAGGGGGTTACATGAAATCCAATGGTGATAGATGGAGGAAGTGGGAGAAAGCAAAGTGGGGAAACCTCTGGGATTGGATAAAGAATACAATGGAGACACACATACTTCTTTTACTCTGGTGGGCATGGGAGAGTTAGCAATAACATTTACAGCAGAGAGATGGTGCGCAGGGGCCAAGATAACAAGGAGGGTTCAGTGGTCTCCTGTTCTGAGACTGCTCCCTGAAGGTCTGGAGGGGAAATTACCCTGACATTCCAAAGGTATATTATCTTAGATGCAAAAAGACAACCTTTGTCAAGGGACATAGAGGCCTAGGATATGACTACCCACCGTGACCTGCTTTTTGTTAAGAAGTTTTGTGTTCAGACCATCCTATGTGGTTACTTAAGGTCTCTGAGTTTGCAGGGCTTGCCATGCAGGTCTCCCCGAGCTTGTCAGTTTAGTCGTGTGTGGCCTCTTTTCCTCCACAATAGGATGAAGTTTGGCCTATTTCCTCTCTTGACCTTTCCTAATCAGTGTGTTAACAGCAGTTATATTTACACAATAAATCATGTGTGTTTTTTTAATCATGTTTTTTTAAGAATGTTTTTGTTTGCTATTTTTATATTCCATGTTATAAATATCATTGCAACAATTATGTACACGCAACTCTGATTTATTGAATTCAGTGGTCATCATTAGATATTTTTTCTTTAAGTGTTGCTTGCACTTTTGTTTTTAATCCTGTGGTATAATATTTCAGGTAGTCATTCCAGTAGGACTAGTATATGGTTGGGTCTCTAGATCTGCTGCCTCCACATAGTGGCCCAGGCATGCTGGGTGTGGCATTTTCAAACAAAATTTTCCCATCAGACCCCAGGACGCCTAGTTTGGAAAGATGGGAACTTCCAATGTAGTCTACACTTACTTTTATCAAAACTTTAACTTCTGATATTTGTTTGATTCAAAACATTTGTGTCAATTATTTTCCTAATAAATTAAATATTATGGATGTTATTGAATACCCCTATTCTCCTCTCCCTTTTCTCACCAGAGATAATCCTGAATTTGTTGTTTCTTATTATTGTAAGTTTACTTTTTAAACTTTACAACTATTAAGTCCTGGACATAAATCTCAGACATGATTTCATTCACCTTCAGATTCACATTAAAACAAAACCTTAGGCTATCCCGTACGGCCCTCTGATGTTTACGTGGTCTGAGAAGCCAGGAGGCCTGGCCTACGATGTCTGCTTTCCATGCCAGTCAGCCGTGGGACCCAGGCGCCTGGTCCACAAGGTGCATGAGTCCCCCAGCGACTGCAGGCCGGGCTCCTGCACTTACACTTCCTATCAGAGTTCTACAGCCCTTTGTGCTTGTCACTCCTGTTCTCTGAACTTTAAATCAGTTTCCTCTTTATCTCTGCTTCATTTTTATCTTACTGTAGTGTGTATTTCTATTTTTCAACAAAAGAATCATTTTCAGATGATGGGAGCAAAATTTCCTTTTCCCTTCACATTGTCACCAGTGACCAGTGACCCAACTTCTCAAGCAGGGGCCTGTTTTCCCACATTTTTCCTGAACTAAATGCAGTGAGTAATGCCCCTTTGCTTCCCCTTCCCCCATCTTTTTTTTATGGGACTGTTATTATATGGAGTTAGAAGAAGTCCATGCTTTCTTCCTTATTTCCTAAAAGCTACCTTTAAGTTTATTAAACTAAACCTCCAGGGATTATAATCCCAAATAACCTATAGTTGGTTGGTCTGGGATATATTTTATCCCACCTTTGTCACCAAAAGAAATGCTGAAGCCAGGGATGGGTAATGAATACAGGGAAAGACCCACGGTGTCCAACTTCAAGGCCTGATGGGAGAAAGTGAACTCCAATAATAGAGAGTAATTCTACCCATTTTAACTCTTCATCCCATTGTGAGAATAGTTAATAAATGTCTCGGAAAGTATGAGTTTCTGAATTTATGATAATGCTAGATTATATGTTATATCGTTTATTACTACCGCAAGGACAGACAAATAGCATGTTGGGAAAGGACCCACACGTGTTTCCTAACAGCACCTGCGACACACTTCCTTCCTGGAACACTGGGCTATTTGGCAGCAAAGAGATCACTCAGCTGGTTTTCTCTTCTAGAAACTTGTGCATGTTCATTTCAGCTTTTGGACCAGTCAGAGCATCATAAGTCCTCCAGGCGTCACTCTGGGTTTCACACCTTCCTGGGGGGAGAACTGGAACCCAGGCCCGAATTCTAGTGTGCAAGTTTCTGATTGATGTTTTCACTCCATTCTGGGTAATACCGTTTGTTGGATGAATTGTATAATTTTCATTGTTGGTATTTGAAAGACATAAAGATGATAAATTAGCTTAAGGAAGATAAGAGGAAGCACCCGACTTAGCTCAGTGTCTCTGTAAACAGGAGCCTTCCTCCCATGTGACCCGGTGACATCACATCTCCTCTCTGCTCTGTCCTGAGAAACTTGCATGTTGAGTGGTGAAGTTCGAGTTGGGCATAACTACCTATGTGAATGTAGTTTTCTTTCTTATCCTGAATAACTTTCTTAACATTTCTATATTTGGATAAGAAAGCATGCCTTGGAGAAACGGAGAGCAGAGTGTGACTCTGGGCAGGGCTGAGGCCCACCCCATCGGCATCGTCTCCCAGGCACATCTACCTGCTCCCCAAGTTCCCACACGAAGAGCACGGGCATGTGGGGCACATGGCTTGCGTGTCAGTAAATCATGCTGCTCTCATTATGGCACTGCCTTCGTGGCATTCCAGTGACTTTAGAACCCCAACTGAATATTACACCTTAGAGCTCCCCAAAGTAAAGCCACACACCACTTTTGTTTGAAAAGAAACAGAATTTATTAAGAAATTATGTGCTGAACTCTCCCAGGCTGTGAGGTTGGGCTCTTCTATTTCCACAGCGCAAGGCGGCAGCTCGCTCCGGAGAACACTGGCGATGCTCAGTGGTGGTGGTGGTGGTGGGGTATTCCTGGTCGCAGGAGATGGACGATGCTGGCACTCAGGTACACGCGTGGGTCCAAGACGAGACCATCCCTCCGCATTCTCACCTGCATTCACACTGACACCTTCCCCGGGCTCTCCTGCCCCTGACTGCGGGTTGGGTGAGAGCAGGGTCATCCCATCCAGGAGAGAGAGGGATGCTGAACTCAACCACAGGTCACGCTGATACCTTTAGCTCTTGACTCACATCTGAAATAGTTGCATTCCTTATGAGTAAAAATGGTGCGCATATAGGGCAGAAATATAACCTTTTCAAGTATTTTATCCTTATGATCTGAAGTACTTTAAACTATAAATTAAAAATAAATTACAAAAACTAGCATATGATGTATCTTTTCTTACATAACATTGTTGGGAATAAGCTTTAAACATAGAATTGCAATATCACCCGACTTTATATATGATCAATGGTGAAACATGCTAATCATAAAAATAGCTTTTACAAATATACATTTGTATATAGTGTCTCCCTCACCATTCATAATATCCTTCACATTTTAAGATTTTTAAGACAAACAACAACAACAACCCAAACATAATTAGCAAAGGGAAACACACATTTACAATCTAAACCATAAAAATCTGACAATTATACAGCTCAGAACATAGAAGAAATGGAATTTCTAAGACTGAACAATACTGTCCATTTTATTTATTTGGGTTTTTATGTAAATTGAACCAAAGATGTTGCTCTCCAGTAAGGAATCTCCTCTGACATCTCTGGGGTTGTCAGAACGCCTCTTTTCTGCTGCGTGGCTTCGTTCATTCATTCAGATCACTTTATCTGTAGAAACTGAGACAAGAAAAAGAGCATTTTAAAATACAGAGATCGTGTCCCGTCGCTGGTAGCTCGCGCATGTGTGAGTTAGATGCTAAGGCTCCAAGAGGGGAGGCTAAAAGAGCACTCGGTCTTTAGGGACGCTAGGTCCCCAGCTGCTCTGTGAAGGCAACCCTGAGGCCGTTCGCATTTAGAGCGCGCTATGCTTTTTTAAAGTCCAGCGAATTTCGTGCCTGAGATGGCCATTACTTCCCAGTATGACTCTGGTCTAGGGAAGCAGTGGGGATGCTCAGGACCTCTGTTGTCCGACAGGACGGGCCTCAGCACTTCCCCTGTGAGAGGCTGTGAGCAGCGTTCCCAGATCTGTGTCCGGGGTGAACAGCCAGCTCGGGTCCTGATGTGAGTCACAGTCCTGGTAGTAGATGGCCATTTAACTATGTTGACTCTTTCAATCCATAAACACAGACTCTCTTTCCATTTCCTTGTGTCTTCTTCCATTTAGTTAAATAATGTTGTGTAGTTTTCAATGTATAGGGCCTTCACATCCTTTGTTAAGTTTATTCCTAGGTATTTTATTCTTTTTGTAGGAATTGCAAAAGGAATTGTTCTCTTCATTTCTATTTCTGAAATTTCATTGTTAGTATATAGAAACACAATGGCTTCTTGTACATTGATTTTGTATCTTCAAACTTTACTTGTATTTGTTTATTGTTTCTACTGTATTTGTTTATTTATTTATTTTTGGTGGAGTCTTTAGGTTTTCTATATAAAGAATCATTTTGTCTGCAAAAAGGGACAATTTTACTTTCCCCCCAATTTGGATGCCTTTTATTTCTTTCTCTTGACTGATTGCTCTGGCTAGAACTTCCAGAACTACATATATTGAATAAAAGTGATGAGAATGGGCATCCTTGTCTTGTTACTGGTCTTAGAGGAAAAGCTCTCAGTTTTTCACCATTGATATGATATTGGCTGAGGGTTTGTGATATATGGCCTTTATTATGTTGTGGTACTTTCCTCCTATTCCCATTTCATTGAATGTTAAAAACACAAAGTGGGAGGTATCAGATTCCCTGACTACAAAGTGACCATCACCAAAACAGCATGATATTGACATAAAAAAAGACACACAGACCAATGGAATAGCATTGAGAGCCCAGAAGTAAACACACATGTAAATGGGCGAATAATTTTTGACAAAGAAGCAAAAAACATACAATGGAGAAAAGAAAACCTCTTCAATAAATGGTGCAGGGAAAATTGGAAAGCCACATGCAAAACAAGGAAATTAGATTGTGATTCATCATCTTTTAAAAAAATTAACTCAAAATGGATTAAAGACCTAGATATAAGACCTAACAAAACCTGCCATATCAAGATGACGCTCTAACCAACTGCCCGGCCAAGGCTCTACTTTTAGACTAAAAGAATCACATCAGCAAAGCTGTAATGGAATCAAAACTCCATGACTATTGACTCCCTGGGATGGTGACAAATGAAGGCTACCACTTCACTGTGTAGTTCTTGCTGGCTTAAGAGTCTTCATTCCTGAGTTGATGGCCATTAGAGTATGGGTGGCAGGGGACAGAAAACTAGGAGAAAACAGAAGTGTAATAACCTGCCAGATGCTTGGAAAGACCATCAGGTCATCTTCTGATAATTTAACTCTAAAATGAAGACTTAAATGATTCGGGCAGAGATGAACCATGGCACTAAGAAAGGTCAAAGTTTTCTGGGTCTTTGAGATCTGACTAGAACATAATGGAAATTTATTAAATCAGCTAATGGGAAACAAGTGCCCATCTGAAAGGAACACATTTGGCACTGCAAGGGCAGGAAAATAGGAGTCTCTGAAGGGCAACTCAGTGAACAGGTGACCTAGGACCATGGAGAGACCTTGTCTAACCTCCCAACCAAAAAGCAGCACCATTGCCCTGGTTGGGCAGTTCTCCCTGATATGTCAAGGTTGTGGGCTCAATCCCCAGTTAGGGCACGTTAGAGAATCAACCAATGAGTATATAGCTAAGTGGAACAAAAAATTAATGCCTCTCTCTCTCTCTCTCTTCCCCACGCTTTCCCCCTCTCTCTGAAATCAATTAAAAAAAAAGAAGAAGAAGAAGCATCTTCCTCCATGATCAGCTAACAGCTGTGCAGGTCTGGCTTCATTGTCTCAAGGAACACAGAACTCAACCTCACAAGGCTCCATCCTATATAATAAAAGGGTAATATGCAAATTGAAGCTAACAGCAGAAAGAATGGGAATGACTGGTCACTATGACACACACTGACCACTAGGGGGCAGATGCTCAATGCGGGATATGCCCCCTGGTGGTCAGTGCACTCCCACAGGGGGAGCTCTGCTCAGTCACAAGCCAGGCTGCCAGCTGCCAGCTGCCAGCACAGTGGTGGTGGAGGGAGATTCTCCCACCTCCTTAGCAGTGCTAAGGATGTCTGACTGCAGCTTAGGCCTGATCCCTGCTGGCAAGTGGACAACCCCTGAGGGCTCCCAGCTTGCCAGAGGGATGTCTGACTGCCAGTTTAGGCCCATTCCCCTTGGAAGCGGGCCCAAGACAACAGGTGGACATCCCCCGAGGGGTCCCAGACTGCGAGAGGGCACAGGCTGAGCTGAGGGATTCCCCCTCCCCCTCCGAGTACACAAATTTTTGTGCACCAGGCCTCTAGTTTGTATATGGTTGGAAAAGAATCTGCTACCTCGAGTCACACACTGCTAAATGGCTAAAGTAAATAAATTGAGCCAAAACCTAGAGAGTGAGGCAACAAGCCAGTCAGCCTGGCAGATTGGGGAGGAATGGAAGTATCGGGAGCATCTTGTCTGTGGGACATGGATTCAGGTCAGAGGTCCTAAGGTGGCAAGAGCGAGAAAGGCAAACCTCAAGTCCAGGGGAGGTGGACTGCTGTTAGAACACTGAAGCAGGACTCTGAAGGATAAGACTTCCTTGTGTGGATTTATTTGTATTTCTTTTTGGGCCCCAATGTTCCCAGGAATAAAGCAGGACCTGGTTATTAGAACAAACCTAAGTTATTGCAGTAAGCTCACGGCAAGAGAAACAGCAAGAATGTCTTAGAGACCGAGGCATCTGGATTGCTGAACTGAGGCTCCTGAACGTGCCTGTAACTTGGGAGTAGGTTTGGGTTATTCTTAGAATCTGGGCTAAGACTGTGAGCATGGGCCACAATTCTCACAGTAATGCATTCATTGGCATAGTGTGTGGAAATTTAGAAAACACTTGACATGTATATGCTCATTGTTCTTCATTATAAACACATGAAGCAGGTGGTTGGCCAAGAGTCATCCTCATATTATTCATCAATTCTTGGATCAGAGAGTGTCATGACTGAACCCAACCCCAGCTGCTCTATGTAAGACCTGCTCTTTCCGAGTGAATATGGGACATTTTCAAAGACCACATACTGTTCCTCTCTGCCCAGTTTGGGAAAGAGGGCAGTAGGGAGGCAGACTGGGCCTAGCAGTAACTAGCACAGGTGTGTTCACCTGGGATGTGCAGGTACACAGGTGCTTGGTGATGCACAGGAGGAAGGCGTAGAGTTACTGAGGATGTGTGACGACTTGCACAGGACCCACCAACTACCTTCCCTGGGTTTGAAACAGAGCTGCCTGGATTTTGTAAAGTTCTATCTTGAGCTAATTTAAACCATGTTAATTAAAAACTTCTTGAAAACATCCATCAAAAAGGACCTTTTATGTTGTAAAAATGCATTTGATTAAGAGACAAAATTAACTTTAGAGTAAAATTATCTAAAGTGGGTTACATAATTTTATTTAAAACCAGAGGCCTGTAATCAGGCCTAAGCTGGCAGTCAGACATCCTTCACATAGTCCGGGGCTCTCATAGTCTGAGACCCCTTGTTCCTTACCACCTGCCTCCAGCGGAGGTGGGAAAGGCTCCCAGCCATGAGCCTGGCTTCTGGCTGAGTGGCACTCCCCCTGTGGGAGCACACTTACCACCAGGGAGCAGCGCCTGCATTGAGCATCTGCCCCCTGGTGATCAGTGTGCATCATAACAACTGGTCATTCCACTGTTTGGTCAATTTGCATATTAGGGTTTTATTATATAAGAAATCTGTATAAAAATTTAAGTCATTTAATACCAAGAAGAATTAATCATATTACTCAATTATGTAATTACCAGAATTTGGATGTTCTGTTGCACATATATTTACATTTCTTTAATTTTTTCCCCAAAATTGTTCCCTGACACTTTCTGAAAATAACTGTGACTGTGTTCAAGCATTTTGGGCTCCCTGAAAATCATATCTGACTTGTTGAACTGATAAGTTATAGTAACTTTACTTGGTGCATAACTTGTGTTTTATTGGGCATAGATTTCTGCTTTGTCATGCTAATTACACAGGGTGGGGCAAATGTAGATTTACAGTTGTAAGTACTCAAAACAGTTTATTCTAGTATTATTACTTATTAATCATTGTGTTATTTTCCATATGAGTATCTGTGAGTCTACTTTTGCCCACCCTGTATAATGTCTAGCAACCTTTAGTTACTCCCAATGCTGGAAAGATAATGATAATTTTCAGGTAGTACTCCAAATTGCTTAAGTTAATTCCAGGTCTAGAAGCCAAATGATGATTAATGCTAAGATTATTATGAAATTGGAAATTTCACACATTTTACTGCTTCCTACAGTTCTTTAGAAAATTAGTTTTGGAACCAAAAGAAGAACTATTTTAAAAATAATTTCCTATCTAACAGTAAAATGTGATTTAGAATTGATTGATTCAGAGGTTTAATTTAAAAAGCACTTGGAAATTGTACCATTAATTCCTGGTCATTCAGAATAGCTTGGGAAAGGTGATCATGGCTATTTAGTAATTCTCTTTTAATTTAAATAAATTTACTGTACACATCAATAAAAAATTAGAATATAATAAAGTAGCTTCATCTTTAAAATTGAGTGAAATTAATCTGAGAGAACAAGGAAAGGAAAGCATAAGCTATTGTTCTACTAATAAATCCT